GGTGGTTTCTTATTTTTAATTCTTAGATTATGCTTGCAAATTTCAGTTTCTTATGTGTTTTTTTTGTAATTTTAGGTTGTTTTCAAGTAGTTTTTTGTAATCTTCACGTTTTTAAGGTATTATTTATAATTTTCTATCTTAAATTTTTTTCCCTTAAAATTATTAAGGATAAACCTTTTTTAGTCATGGATAATAGTGATCTAATTAGAATTACCAAATTCTTTATAGTTATAATTTTCTAGTTATTGACAATTTTAATTTGACGATGATTCTTAGTCTCTTTTAGTTATTAGAAGTTTCTACAAATGAATAGTTTTATTTGATTATTAGAGATTTTTAGTTATAGATAGTTTTAATTTAATGAGAATCCTTAGGTATAGATAATATTAGGTGTCCACATTGCATACTTTAATTTGACATGCGTCATGATTTTAGTGTTAGGAAGAACTCACCAATTTTTCATTATAGATGAAGGAGGGATTTGTTGCTTATGTAGTGGAAATTCTTTAATCTCTGAATATAATTGAGTAGTTCCTTAATCAATTAAATCTTGTTGTGTTTTGACAAGAAATAACTTTACGATTGTTAGAAGCATCTTACATCCGTTTAGATAATTGTAAAGAGTCATTCTAGTAAAAATAGGAAAATGATGTTAGGTTATGCTTACTTTTCTGATAGTGAGGATGCTATTTTAAAAAAGTTCGGACTCACATTTTAATCTCATGTTTATTTTTCAATTCAGTCTAGACTATATTTAAGGTGGGATGTATAAACGAATAAAAGAGGGACTAATTTAAATCCACCCTATCTGTTGGGGATTCGAAACAATCAAATCAAATCTTTGCCCTTCCGGACCTTGTGTTAAAAGTAGGAAAGTAGGAAAATTCACCACAAATAAAGATCAAAACTTGCAGGAATAACAAAGGAGACAAACACACAGATTTAACGAGGTTTGGCAACGTGCCTACGTCCTCAGGAGCCACACCACACAATTCTTTTATTGATTGAAGAAGAAATACAAGCTCTCAAACTAGGGTTTTATCTCTCTGAGATCTCTCTGTCAAAAGCTCTCTCTTTTGATGGTTTTCTGATGCTTTATAAACCCTAAAGACGTTTGGGTATTTATATCAAACCCAGCCCAAACAGATTTCCTAAACTCATAAGGAATCTGGAAAATAGCGTCGCGGTCGAGACAGTCGACTGCGCAGGTATCGTGGTCGACCACGGCGGTCGACCAAACCAAAACCCGAGAGCAGAAAATATTATAGGGTTGGCGCGGTCGACCGCCACAGTCGACCGCCTTCAGCTCCAGCCTCTCCCTGACTCCTGTGCACGTTTGTGGTCGACCGCCGCTGACTCACGGTCGACCGCCAGGCTGACTAGCAGTTCTCCTGGACTTTTTGGACTGTGTTCTTCGTGATTCCAGCTTCGGCTTTAACTTTGGGTCTACACTTTAGACTAACAATCTCCCATTAGGAGACTAAAGTGCCATCAGTGAGTTCACCCGAACTCTCCCCTTCTTCGCATGTATCTTCTCCTCCCCGAAAAAATCCTTTCTTCAATCAATAATATCCCAGCGATCTCGCCGATCCTCGTAGTGTGGCTCCGTCTTCGTCTTCTACTCGTGAAGGCCAACTGAAGTTACGCACAACTCTAGTTTCTCAATGGTGACTGCCTTCGTCAACATGTCCGCCGGATTTTGAATCCCCAAAATCTTCATTAAGTGTAACTTTCTGTGTTCAACTAGAGAGCGTATAAAATGATATTTGACGTCGATGTGCTTCATTCTGGCATGATATACTAGATTCTTGGCAAGATGTATAGCGCTCTGACTATCATAGTAAAGAACTCCTCTCCCTTGCTTCAGATGCAACTCTTTCAAGCATCCGTTCAACCAGATCATTTCCTTGCTTGCTTCGGTCACCGCGACATACTCAGCTTCGGTTGTAGATAAAGTCACAATCTCCTGCAGACATGAGACCTAGCTCATTGCTATCGATGCTAAGGTATAAACATACCCCGTGATGCTTCGCCTCGTATCATGATCACCGGCGAAGTCCGCCTCAACATATCCCTGTAGCACTAACTCCTTCCTCCTGAAACATAGTGGTTTGTTCGTTGTTCCCTTCAAGTACCGCAATATCCACTTCACGGTCTCCTAATGCTGCTTCCCTAGATTGCTTGCAAACCTGCTCACAACTCCTATTGCATGGTTGATGTCCGACCTCGTGCAAACCATCGCGTACATGAGATTCCCAATAACCGAAGAATATGACACTCTGCTCATATGCTCTCTATCTGTATCTGTCTTAGGCGATTGATCCTCAGATAGCTTGAACTGACTTTAGTCATTATAATAAGTTTAAAAAAAGAAAGACTTTTTATAAGTCTCCTTACACACCGAAAATAAAAAGATTACAACTTTCTTAAGAACACTCGCAGAGAGATAGTTTATCGGTCTTCTGCTTGTACAAAATCTTTGCTGGTGTCGGGGTTTATCCATGGACTACCAACTGATAAAATCCGAATAAAAATTTTATTGCCTCACAAAGGAGATAAGAAATTAAAGTGATTATCTCGGCAACAGTGAGACAATCACTCTTCTCGAGAATCACAGCTAGGTGCGATCTCATGGAAAATAGATGAACGGGAGGCAAATCTCTTGAACTCTTCCTCATTTTATGCTGAAGAACTCACCAAGATCTCTTCCTCCTCTTTGAAATTCATGCTCTTCACTCTTAAATTCGATAGGACTTCGCCGATGCTCGAGAATTCCGGATCTCTGCAAATGAAGGTCCTAGGGCCATATTTATAGGCTTCAGAAGCTTTATTTTCAAAAAAGAACGGCTGATTTGCTCTTATATTTAGTTGTAACCACTTAACTACATTCCAAGATAGCTTCAAATAAGTTGGAGAGCCTTTGGGCTTAAGAAATCCTGAAATCTTATTGAAAAACTGGTTTTCAGGCGGTTAACGGGCGAAAAATAGCATTTTTATGCATGAGACAGACTTTGTGTCACGGCTTTGGCCGAGACAAAATTTGTGTCTCTGCCTTGGATAAGACATAGAATGCGTCTCAGCCTTAACTGAGACACAATATGTGTCTCAGCCTTGGCCGATACACAAAACGCGTCTAAGTTTTGGCCGAAATGTCGTTTTAGTGCGCCTTAACTGTTTTTCCTGTAATTTCCCGGTCTGATCTCGGAATGATGCAATTTAAAGTGCGTTGGAAAACCGGAGAAGAGATCTACAATCTCCCATAGGTGAAATACATGTGGGGTGGACAAGACATGAGTGACGCTTTGTCTTTCGTGGGTGAAACGTAACTCCCGATCGAATCGCCTTTCGTTATTCTACCACCTCGTTGATTCGTATGCTTCGTCGACTCGCTTCATGTGCTTGTCAACATCAGATAATTCCCCTTAACTTAGATAATGGCATTCATCATTTTCTCTTCACCTCGAGCTGTGTGCGGGAACTTATAGGTAATTTTTGATGCCTACATAGCCGTTGGTTGACCTCTTTTAGCTTTCTTCCTTTTAAGGAAGCGTTCGGCTTGCTCCCCGCGCACCTTCAATTCTTTCCAAGACTTAGATGGTGCTACGCCTATAGCTTCTAGCATATGCAAAGAAAGA